GCAGCTTCGTACACAGACTCCTTGGTGTTGCATGTTGCATCAAACCTGACCTCCAAACGAGCGGACAGGAAGCTGGACAACTTTTTTCCCCGATGTGCATGAGCATTTCTGTGTGACCCTCATGTACCGTCCTTAGGGGCCTTTTTACACACACATGTGGGGGTTCTCAAAATCGAGGCCCAGATAAGAATGGATTTCCTTTTGGTTTCCCAAGCGCCAGCATGGATCCACTGTTAGAAGCCCTAAGATACCGTGTGAGAAAGTGGCGCAGGTGTGCCGAGATGAACTGGGAGATGACCATGTTGGCCATGGATGGCTCCACTCTCGATGACGCCTTTGCCTCGGGGAGTATCCAACGACGTCCTGCACCGAGTTGTATTAGATTTGTGTTCATACGGTGTGAAAGCACCTGCTGCTGTTTTGCTACATGCAGAGGTTGGACAGGGTTCATGTACATCTGATTCGCGCACTTGCGAGCCCAGGATAGCACTAGGACGCATCCCCCAACAGGACGTTGTTGACCGAATTGTCACATTGTCACGGACAATTCAATGTTCCGTGACAATCTGTAGACAGCCCATGCGGGTATGTGTAAAGTGTTCTTTTAAGGGGACTCATTGCCGAGGTTGCTGTAAAGGGAGAAAGCAAAGGAAGGCCAGAAGTTTCTGTAAGGGGGAGTGGGTTCCCCAATTTTGAAGCGAACCCATGTCAACCCAAAGAAGCAAACAGCGGTGAACGGTGAATGCGAAGCGTTGGGAAGCCGCTACACATCAGGTGGCCATTCGACAAGTTCCAGCCGGCAGCCAAGGGAGCGAGATATGCATCTGGTACTATGGATGGCCTAAACATGCCTAAACACTCGCAAGTAGGAAACAAGGCAACCCCTGTACTTTGCCGCAGCTGGACAGAGTTGTATGGCTGAGTCAGAGTCTGGTTGGTTCATTAGCAGATTTAGCCGAATCCAGTATAAACAAGAAGTTCACGCTTGAACATAGTGGCTTGTCTCTGGAGCAGTTTGCGCCTGTCCTTTCGACATAGCTCAATTGTTCTTGGAGTGGAAGGTGAGTGATGCGCAAGGAAGGGGCATGCAGTGTAGGACTCTCATACTTGCAAATGATTCCTTTGTGCTCTTCTGACTGGGTGCTAAATATTCCTTCAGTGTGTTATGTTTTAGAAAGAAGAGGATACAATTTCCAAGTTCTGTATGTCGACGGCCGTGGCTCCTTCTTCCACCTCGACAACACTACCTCCAGGAGTAGTCGAGTCTACAACCCTTGCAGCACGTATATAGTGGTTGCACAGTCACATGGTATAAAATAATCGATGTATCCCATGTTCCCCCTGGGTAGCGGTTCAAGGGTATTGGAAAATGCTCATAGATCCTTCCCTCACGTCAGAATTTGAGGGCTCCAATTGCCTTGGTCACCAGGTCATCCCGGATGCAGCGACGCATCTTCTGCTGTCGGCCTCCGGCAATGACCTCCTGAAGCTTCTCAATGAGGCCCCTCTGTGCCATGTCAATCTAGCATACAAATATGTGTGGTTTTCTCCCGATCAAAGGGCACTTGCTCTTTGTGTGTTTCGTCTAAAGTGCCACTTGTTTTTTCTTCGAAGCTTCAATAAGTCCCAACCTGCATCTGCAAGGCAAGCCTGTGGGATCCACAACATCCAGGCAACTCGTAGCCACCACACCAACGGCTTGGTGATTCAGACATCTGCGTATGTGGCCATGAATGTCAATGGGAGATCACCTCAAAATCACTTCAAACGTGGTTGGACAAGCATGAATTCTCATTGAAGAAAACCAACGCAGGGTCTCTTGTTGCAAGCTGCTTGCGAAGGCGAATGCCGTCCTTGGAGTTGACATTTCCGTTGCTGTGGCTGTTGAATCGGAAGATACCGGAAGCCCCTGCAATCATATGCAAACAGCGACATATATGCACTATGACTCCCGTCCCTTTCAAGACCAATCTCCTTTGCAAGGTCCTCTTGTTGGGGATGTCAAGTTTCAGGCCAGGAGACAATCAGGGAAGGCCTTACATGATGCTTCCCAAGGCCTTACTCAATTGGTCAAACTCGTCCTTTTGTCTCAGAATGTATCATGTCCTCTCTACGGTTTCGATCGCAAACAACTTTTTTTTCAACCGACAGAATGGAGCAGCACTTACGGCAAACACTCTTGTTGCTTTAACCAACCCTGAACAAGGCGCCCTCCAAGAAAGGATGCTTGCTCCCCTAAAAAAGAAGATGGTAGCCAGAAAGGAGCGCCCGCAAAGGAGATTCCTCTTGAATGGGTTTTCTAATTGTCCGAATGTGTGGACGATCTGCGGGCTCCAGTAGTGTGTTTGTTGTTGTGTTTTTTGTGGGCGGTTCATGTGAATCCGCAGACGAATTCATCGCTCCGCCAGGTCTCTTCCGCGGACTTCTCCCTGAGCGCATTGATCTCGGCCATGACCGACGGCCTGCGACAGGCCAGGTGTGGGGGCCAGTTTTGAGTTTGAATTTGTATATGTGTGTGTGTGTGCGTTTTGAAAAGGGGACCCAGATTGTTTGGCATTTTTTTGGGCGGGGGCGGAGGTTCGCTTTGCAGAGTCTGACTTCAATCTTGGCAGGGCTTGAGCCTCGATTCACATGAGTCAGTCGCACAACTATTGGCATACTGTTGGTTTGGGGAGGACATGTGGCGGGGCACCCACATTCCCCATAGCCAGGCAGAAACTCCGATTTTCCTATGTCCTTTTAGGAGCAACTCATATAGTCCGGGGCTAACAAGAATGTCCCAAAAGAGAACGTGCTTTTCGTTGGAGCATTTTGCGACCCCTCCTTTGATCGGGAAGATGCAAAGGGCAACGGGGTGCCAATTCGGGATGCCAATTCGGGATGATTTGTTGGTCCTCTCGTGGTCTGTGGAAGTATTACCAGCTGCTCACGCACTGATTTAAAGGCACAGCAAGAGCCATGGCAGCCTAGTGGTGGCTCGTAGCAGCCAAGGAACATTTGGGGCCATCCATGGCTCCCCTTGCCAGTCCGCCCTGGGTCAATCCTTCGTGGGGTCCCCGATTCGTCCATCCCAATCCACCCCAATTTTCGCCTTCTTGGGCGAAGCATGTCGCCTGCAGGTTGGATGGTCTGAAGTTTGAAGGGAAAGACAAACATCCACCAACCATTCCTCAAATTATAGGATGTATCAATGGTGTTCAATGAGACGTCCCTGCCAGAAAGTGTGGACTGAACCAAAGTAGTTTCTGGGTTCGAACATGAAGCAAGCAAACAATCTCACTGGTTTGAGCCTTGCCTTTTAACCCTCAGAAAATGATCGGTTTGCCACCAGCTAGCGTACTCTCTTGGAAAAATGGTTGGGCCTCCGAAACTGAGCTTGGTTCCTTCTACAAACGTGTCCCAACAATGGTGGCAAACGGAACACCGTGGGATATACTGCGAACATGCAGCTCAGATGATACCATCGTACCACTCCTCAGTTCCATGTTTGTTGCTCATCCGAGCAATGTCAGTGTAACTCTAGGACACTTGGCCATTCGCAAGCAAACCCGGGATATTCCAGCACTTAGACATCAATTTCGAAGAACTTTGTAAGTCTGGGTGCGCATACTTGTGAATGTCCCTGAAAGGAGCCACGAAGGCCAAACATGTTGGGGTCCCCTGACCCCTATTAAGCACCCAATCGTTTTCGCTTGTGGCTGTCACCGACGTCTGACTCGCAGGTGACGCAGAAGTATCGCCGAATCCTGGAGTCGATGGTTTCAACTGGGTGCCACATTGCCTGCTGTACGGCTGCTGACTCAGGTGCTAGCATATAGGGGTTGGCACTGGGCAGCCAGGATGCTATATATGGACGGGGTTCAAGGGGCAACCAAAACGAAACCCACCCTTTCTTGGATGGGTTCGGTGTCCTTTTGTTGTGTGATGTTGGTGGAAAAGCAAAAGAACAACCACCCTGTTTTTGATGGGTTCCAACCCGAACAAAGACGAGCCACCGAGCCAAGCCTTTGCGAGGTCTATCAGCCGAATTTCCAGCACGCCTTCCTGAGAGCCCTATCCGCCACAAGCCTCGGGTGCTCCTTCCTCCCTCGCCATGCGAGTTGAGAGAACAGGGGATTTGGGTACTCTGAGCGGGCAAGTGGTTTAGGAAGCTAGGTAAGTGCTTCGGTTCCCCTTTGAAACTAGGTTTTGGTCTAAGCGGCTTGTGAACATGGTTAAGCCCACTGACAACCCACTTACCATGGTAAGCTTCCTTAGTTTAAAGATTTGTAAACTCTATCGAAAAGCTCACCCGGGGCAGGTACTTAAGATTCCTAAGGTTAGCACCATGGTTATTGAGCCCATGTGTTTTGGACCAAAGAGGGCCTTGCGTGTTGGATGAATTCCTTGGATATTGAGTGTATCCTTTTAGGGGCAATCCCCATTTGGGTGGTTCTTGTGTAAAAGGGACCAGGAGGATGCCAACCAAGAGGAGCAAAATGGCCCACATAGTGAGTCTACTTGAGTTGAAGCATGTTCCTGCGATGGTTGATTCCGAGTGTAAGACCCCATGAAAGAGATGATCGCCTGAGTTCACCCGCTGCGGAAGTGTTCTCTGGATGATCGTCGCCCTTCATTGCAGCCGTTTCATAGCTCAGTGCAGCTCAGTGCTGATGAGTACACAATTTTGGGCGGGTCTGTAGTTGTGGACCCGCCTTGGCTTGACAAGGAAACCAGAAGGAATCGCAGAAAACACCACTCAGTTGTTGCTTGCTGTTAGATGTGGCTGGCTGACCAGCCGTGCGACAAGACGAACAAGTTGTTGCTTCTGTCTGTTTCTGGACTGAGCACTATTGCCTACATCCTGTCGATTTATACCCTCGTACAAACATGTGCAAACAACTGGGCAGTTCGCAAACATAGGTTCCCTGGTGACATGTTGTGCTGCCTTCAACAAGGGATCCCAAACAAATGGCTGACCCCATTTGCGTAGTTGATCAACCCTTCAACCATCCTTTACAATGCGCGTACTTGGCCTGATAAGTGGCGGCAAGGACCGCCACAAGCGAATCACGGATGTGTTTGTCAGTGCGAATCCTGCCGACTGCTGCAGGACTCCATTTGGAACTTGCACTACTGCCCCACTGGCTAGCGTTGCACAGTCCAAGGCTTGTAGAATCTCTCCCATCACTTGGAACCTCAGCTTTGATAGTGGGGAAGTTCGCTAAGGGTGCAGGATAAAACCCGGATAACCCCCTTCAAGTCCTTGCTAGGGCAACGAACCATTCAGCAAAACCCCAGGCCATTCAAAGGGCAAGTGCCAACGCTCTTTTTGTGGGTTCTAGGGGCGCGAAGGCAACCTGGGATGTCCAGCTGGCTGCACAGGACGACAAATTCTCTGGTGTTTCTGTTCCAGGAGGGTCTAGGCTCATGTTTACAACCTACTTACTACGTATGGGTTGAGCACACAAAAGGCAATGATGTCGGTTCGCCTGCACCAAACGTCTCCAGAGAGGAAACTCCGAGGCACTTTCCCTGCCCTTTAGTGCTGCCATTTTGTCTTCCTTGAGCTTCCCTGCACAAACACTCTACCCAAAATCCAATGCACCCTTTTTCCCCATGAAACTCTGGAGGTGCTTTTGAATGCCACCGATCCCATGGAAGTCCAGAAGCGGTCACTACCACCTCATGGCAGGCCACCACTTCGGTCATGAGCTTCGATGCCTGGCTAACCTGGCGCCGCCTCCGGGAGTCTCGGCGCCTCTGCCGGAATCGCGACCGGACGCTCCGGGCGCTTAGACTAATGGCGCTAAGCAAGAAACTTGTTGGCTTGGAAGGCGTTTGACATGTCTATTTGTATCTTGGCATGTGTGTTTGACGTGTCGTTGTGCTGTATACTGGTGTCGTTGTATCAAGATGCCTAAATCTGACTGAGGGATGGGGGATTGGGAGTTTAGCGGTCTGGAAAAGACATTTTTACTCATGGGGTGCATTGATTCGCAGTGGGATGGAGCTTTCCCGCAGCTGAAACGAAGGAACTCAACAAGCCATCCGATTTCAGATAATTCCCCAGACAACAAAAACAGTGTTGGGTAGGGAAAGTATTCCGAACAATCCATGAGATGTTCTGTCAAAGTGTCTTATATATATATATTGTGAGGGACATGTGGACATTGTAAACTCGGGCACAAACCTAATTTTACCTTGGTTGGTCAGCCTTCAACCTTTCAACTCTTCAGAAAACGATGATTTCCCTATTGACTCACGCCGAAAGGTCGCGGGCTATTCTGCCAGTCGTGCTGCGGACCAATTGCAAACGGAAAGCAGAAAGATACTTGGGTGTTCCGCCAAGTTAGCAAGTTGGTGGTAACCTAGGTTATAACCCACTTGTAGTGGGGCTAACCTGGTTATTAGCGGGTTATATCCCAGGTTAGCCATCTACTGACTTGGCCGAACACCCAAGTATGTTTTTTGCCGGGTCGTTGAGACCAACACATTTTGTCCGATTGCCCGAGGAGCTGGACTCGTACATGTACCAGACGGCGGGGCTGCACGACTCGGGTTGGCACCGGAGGGCAATTTGAATCCTGCGGTTACGAGAAATTTTCACGAGAAATGCGAAATGCCCACAGTCAGCACAGGTTTGATTCCCCGAGGTTTCCCTGACCCTCCCCAACCCAGGTGGGCTCAGAGCTGGTGACCTGCATTGCGGAGGCCGGGCCCATGTTTGCTTTCCTTTGGGGTTAAAAGGGGGGGGGGCGGGTTGGGGTAGTTGGGGTTCTCCTTGTAAGGTGGGGGGGTTGGGGTTTTGGGGAAGATGTACAGGTGGAAGCGGCTCTTGAATGGGGACTTGGCGATTTCCTTTCTTGGGTTTGGGTTGGGTGGGAACGAGGGGCAGCAAAAAACTCGCACGCGCTCCCATTTGGAGAATGTCCAATGCTCTGCATGTTGCCCGAATTTGCTTATTTTGGGCTTGACCTTGTCCAGAAGTAAGCAGCTGTGTTCATGGCAATAGCTGGGGTAACTAGGTCTCAGGGTATGGAGCTGATTGTGAAATACATATATATATATACATATATATATATACATATATATATATATATATACATATACATACACGCGTGTACAACTTCTCATAGGGGTACAGTTGTATACTTTAGAGCCTCCGGCTCAGTCCGCCGACATTGTCCTCTCCCTTTTCTCCTTCTTCCTCTCTCCCTTGTCTCCCTGGTGTGTTCTGTCGTCCTCTCTCCCTCCCTCCGCTCCCCATCCTCCCCATCCCCCCAAGCCACTCTCTCCCCAATCTCCCTCTCTCGTATGTATGTATGTATGTATGTATGTATGTATGTATGTATGTATGTATATGTATGTATGTATGTAATGTATGTATGTATGTATGTAATGTAATGTAATGTAATGTAATGTAATGTAATGTAATGTAATGTAATGTAATGTAATGTAATGTAATGTAATGTAATGTAATGTAATGTAATGTAATGTAATGTAATGTAATGTAATGTAATGTAATGTAATGTAATGTAATGTAATGTAATGTAATGTAATGTATGTAATGTAATGTAATGTAATGTAATGTAATGTAATGTAATGTAATGTAATGTAATGTAATGTAATGTAATGTAATGTAATGTAATGTAATGTAATGTAATGTAATGTAATGTAATGTAATGTAATGTAATGTAATGTAATGTATGTAATGTAATGTAATGTAATGTAATGTAATGTAATGTAATGTAATGTAATGTAATGTAATGTAATGTAATGTAATGTAATGTAATGTAATGTAATGTAATGTAATGTATGTATGTATGTATGTAATGTGATGTAATTTAAAGTAATGTAAGGTGATGTTGTGTAATGTAATGTATGTATGTATGTCTGTATGTCTGTCTGTATGTATGTCTGTATGTATGTATGTATGTATCCTTGCACTTCCCCTTTGCTCCCCAGTATTTCCCGCAAAAAACACTGTTTTTCCAGCGTTTTCGCAAAGAGGATGTCCAAAAACACAGAGTTTTTCCAGATTTTCGGCAAAAGGATGCAGGAAGCCCAAGCCAGCAAAAAAGCCGGCAGGGGGAATCGAGCCTGGGACCCCTGTTTTGCGACACCGGGTCCCCGAAGACTACGTTTAGTGGAACGTCATCAAATTGCCGCGCGGTCCTTGGGGGGGGGGGGGGGGCCCCCCCCCCCCACGTATCAGACGTCGTCGGGTTAGGGGGGGGGGTTATCCTCTATCCTCTCTTAGGTGTCCGACACGCCGAGCAATGTCGGCGGACATATCGCTCCCCTGTTTTGATAAGTTGGTAAGTTTCAACCATGTTTTCAAAACCTGTTCATGGACGGCCAGAGAAATTAGATGACCACGAATGAAATGTACTTTTGACCATTTGAGTTGAGCCACAAAGCCAAGAGGCTTCACCCCTGCCTGAAAATCATAGACCTGCTGGTGCTATGGCTTGGAATCACCCCATGCCACACCTCTTACAAGCTAAACTGCGATCTCTTTTGATATGTGTGTTGCACTATGTTGCACTTTAAGGTTTGCCAGGTATGAACCAGAATTTTGGGGCCAACAGCTGATCTAGGTTCCTGGCAACCCATTCCCCCCAACACAAAGAGACCTGGGACAGGGTGCGGGAAAGGAGTGAAGGGCTTTGGAGCTCGACGTCTCAGGCAACCCTTACTTGGCGATTTTTCAAGGGTGTTTTGGGGATTGTCCCCCTAAGTGGGAAACCACCCCAATCCTCCAAACCACAAATCCAAACTACGAATGCGTAGTTTATTTGATGGTGCCTTCCATTTGGATTCGAAAGGAACCACCAACTAGAGTAATTAGAGTAAAGCTGATGTGGCTGTGTCTTTTTGTAGGGGAACCCCCCACAAATAGTGGTGTTCCTTTTGGTTTCCTTTAAAACCACAAAAAAGGTACCCTCAAACAACGACGCCCATATGTTACTTTGCAGTGTGACCCAAAGGCCATGGGCTTGCCCTTGGTGCGCCGCGCCATCGCCGGTGCCCCGAAGAACGTGGAGTGCGGCACCTACGCGGGGAAGCCCAGCCCCGAGCACTGATTGACACGGAGCCGCAAAACGGAGGGCTCCTGTAACCCAAAGCCAGTCAGTTGTTTGCCCCAAACCCAGTTCTTTGACCTGCAACTGACCATAGAAAAGGGTGTGGCTCTCTCCCTGCCTATCCATATTGATCTTTGCAAGGTGAACTGACCGCCACCAAGTTGGTTGGGAATTCTCTGCAGGGGTGGTTTGTCATTTGTCGGGTATCTAGCTTTGGAATGCTCTCACAGTTGCCATTCGTGTGCTGCGTGAGGCCCCGGAGGAGGGTGATGAGGTGCAGCGTATCCGCACTTGCCCAAAGCGAGTCAACCTATTGTTCCAAAAGGGTTTTGTCAAGGCCTCGGTTTGGTTGGAAAGACGACATGAGTTCCACTGGTTATATTGGTTTGTGAACCGTTTACCGGGGCCGGCTAGTGTTGCCCAAAAGGACACCTATGAACGGTCCTTTGGGAGGATTGTGTCGTCGGGAGGGTCCGTCCTCACAAAAATCCTCTCGGGGCAGGTCGGGAAGAGTGGGTAGCTGAGCCTTGCTCCCAGTTTTCCTAAGGAGTACCCTTGCCCCTTAGAAGGGTCTCTTGGCAATGTTCTGCGAACCTTCCTTGGCAGCGCCCAAATTGCCCTCCTCAGTACGTGTCTACTTTAGGACCTGCTGCCAGGTTTCATGTGAGTGGGGTGGTGACACAGGCGCCCTTTGCACATGGGTACTATTTACTTGACCCTTCCCAGACCATGGATGACAGTCAGCGATCAAGTGCACAAATCATTGCGCGAGCCGCCCTTTCAGTAAGTCCATGGCCAATGTTCATTCCAACTTTATGCTCCTTCTTGAGACCGGATTGATCACATGTGCAGGTCCATGAATGTCAAGGTGATTCAGGCCAATTTGAGAGACGCTGCTGGCTCCAGACTGGCATTAATTCAGCTGCACTGGA